CTGCAACAGGTGGGGTTTCTTTTGGAGGTAACGCCAAATGATCTGAAATTAGATAGTGGTGATGACTGTACAACTCTATGAATATAATAAAAATCATTCAGTTGTACATTTTGAAAGAGGGAATTTAATGGTATGTGAATTATACCTCAACAAAGCTTGTTTTTTTTTTTAATCCAAAAGGATAAAGGAAAGAGTCAAATCCAACCATATCAATAATTATATATTAATAAATTAAACATTCCAATGAAAAGACAGAAATTACAGAACGGACCAAAAAAAAAAAAAAAAGCCCCAACTGTATATGTTGTTTACAAGAGACTCATTTTAAATATAAGGATAAAGATAAAACGGGAGTAAGTGGATGGAAAAGATATACCATCCAAATAGGAAGCATAAGAAAGCCACAGTGACTAATGCCAGGTAAAGTGGATTTCAAAGCAAAAGGTACTAGCAGAAATAGAAAGGAATGCTTCATAATAATAAAGGAGCCAGTACAAGAGGAAAACATAACAATCATAAATGTAGATGAGCCCAATAATAGAGCTTCAAATATGTGAAGGCAAAATAGAATTAAGAGGAGAGACAGAGAATCTCATAATCATAGTGGAAGGTTTTAACACCCATCTCATGCACTACAGCCCATGCTATGCCAACTGAACTGTCAAAGGCCCTGCTTAACACCTATCAAAGTGCAGGATTACAGGCTGAGTCACCGAGCCCGGCTGGAACATGTACTCTTTACGTGTACACAGTACATTTACCAGAAAAGATAATATATCCTCAAATTTAATCATTTTATAAAGATTGAAACTATAGAATATGTTCTCTGACCAATTAAGTTAAAAATCACAGTGGCTCAAGCCTGTAATAACTGCACAGGTAAGGGGACTGCCTGAGCCCACAGGTTTGAGAACAGCCTGGGCAACTTGGTAAGATCTCATTTCCACAACAAATCAAAAAATCAGCCAGGCATAGTAGCGTGCGCCTATAGTTCTGGCTACTTGAAAGGTTGAGGTGGAAAGATCGTCTGCACCCAACAGGTCGACGCTGGGGTGGCCATGAGCATACCACTGCACGCCAGCCTGGGCAATGGAGGAAGACTCTAACTAAAAAAAATAAAATAAAATAAAAACAGAAAGAAAAGAAATCAGTAACAAAAAGACAACTAGGCAACTTCCCCCCAGAAGGATAACTAAAGGAGTGTTTAGAGAGAGGTTTTTGGCACTAAGTATATTATAAAAGAACAAGATCTCAAGTCAATGATCTAAGCTTCCACCTTCAAAAATAGGAAATGGTTGCAAGGTTGCAAATGATGGACATACTTTGTCTTACTGCACTTCACTTAAGGGGGGAGGGTCTCACAAATGGGGGTTTTTGGCAACCCCGTGTCCATTAGGTCTGTCAGCACCATTTTTCCAACACCATGTGTTCACTTTGTGTCTCTGGTGTTTAGTAATTCTCACAACATTTCAAACTTTTTTATTATTATTATATCTGTTACAGGGATCTGTGATCAGCGATCTTTGATGTCACTACGGTCATTGTTTGGGGGTGCCACAAACAGCATCCATATAAGATGGCGCACATAATAAATGTCGTGTGCACTCGGACTGTCCCACTAACTGGCCGTTTCCCATCTCTCCCCCTCTTCTCAGGCCTCTTGATTCTCTAAGACACAGCAATATTGCAGTTAGGCCAATTAATAATCCTGTAATGGCCTCTGAGTATTCAAGTGAAAGGGACAGACATCCTTCACTTTAAGTCCAAAGCTAGAAATGATTAGGCTTAGTGGAAAAAAACATGCTGAAAGCTGAGCTAGGTCAAAAGCTAGGCCTCTTGTGCGAAACAGTTAGCCAAGCCGTGAATGCAAAGGGAAGGTTCTTGAAGAAAACTCAAGGTACTACTCCAGCAAACGCATGAACGATAAGAAAGTAAAGCAGCCGTACTGCTGACAGGGAGAAAGTTTGTGTGGTCTGGATGGAAGAGCAAACCAACCACAACATTCCCTTAAGCCAAAGCCAGGCCCTAACTCTTCGATTCTGTGAAGGCTGAGAGAGGCTGGAACCTAGCAGAGGCTGGTTCACGAGATTTAAGAAAAGATACCATCTTACATAACATAAAAGTGCAAGCTGAAGCAGCCAGTGCTGATGGAGACACAGCAACAAGTTATCGGAAGATCCGGCTAAGATCGCTAATGAAGATGCAACACTAAACAACCGAGGTTCCATGTAGAAACAAAGACCTTATTCTGGGAAAAGATGTCATCTAGGACTGTCATCGCTAGAGAGAAGTCAATGCCTAGTTTCAAAGGACAGGCTGACTCTCTCTTGTGAGAGGCTAGTGCAGCTGATGACATTTTAAAAGTTGAAGCCAATGCTTGCTGACCATTCCAAAAATCCTGGGGCCCTTAAGAATTATGCCACCTCTGCCTGCCTGGGTTCTATCAATGGAACCACAAAGCCTGGCTCACAGCACATCTGTGTATAGCATGGCTTATGGAATATTTTAAGCCCACTGTCGAGACCTACTGCTCAGGAAAAAAGATTCCTTTCAAGACATTACTGCTCGTTGGCAATACATCTGGTCACCCAAGAGCTCTCATCGAGACCTACAAGGAGATTCATGTTTTCATGCCTGCTAACACAACATCCATTGTGGGGTCCGGGGATCAAGGAGTCATTTCAACTTTCAGCCTTATTCTTTAAAGAATACATTTCATAAGGTTGTAGCTGCCATAAGTGATTCCTCTGATGGATCTGGGCCAAGAACACTGAAAACCTTCTGGAAAGGATCCACCATTCTAGTTGCCATCAAGAACACTCGTGATTCATGGGAAGAGGTTAAAGTATCAACATGAACAGGAGTTTGGAAGAAGCTGATTCCAACCCTCAGGGATGACTTAAGTTCAAGACTTCAGTGCAGAAAGAAACTGCACATGTGGTAGAAATAGCAAGACAACTAGAATTAGAAGTGGAGCTGAAGGTGTGACTTAATTGCTGCGATCTTATGATAAAATTTGAACAGATGAGGAGTTGCTTCTTGTGGACGAACAAAAGAAAGTGATTTGAGATGAAATCTACTCCTGATGAAGATGCTGTGAACATTGATGAAATGACAACAAGGATTTAGAGTATTCAATAAACCTAGCTGATAAAGCTATGGCAGCGTTTGAGAGGATTGACTCCAATTTTGAAAGAAGTTCTACTGTGAGAAAAAGGTTCTCAAACAGCATTACATGCTATAAAGAACTTCCATGAAAAGAAGAGTCAACCAATGCAGCAAACTTCATCGTTGTCTTATTTAAGAAAGTGCCACAGTCACCCCAGTCTTCAGCAAGCCCCAGCCTGGTCTGTCAGCAGCCATCCACATCAAGGCAGGAGTCTCCACCAGCAAAAAGATCAGGGCCCACCCATGCAGAGGACTGTTAACATTTTCAGCAATAAACTATTTTTAAATTAAAGCATGCACATTGTTTTTTAGACAGAATGCTACTGCATATTAATAGACCACAGGATAGTGTAAAACATAGCTTTTATATGCACTGGGAAACCAAAAGATTCGTGTGACTCGTTTTATTGCAATATTTGCTTTATGGTTTGGAAATAAACCATCAATATCTCCAAGCCATGCCTGTATACCCAAAGTAAACAGAAGGAAGGAAAAAACAAGGGACAGAAATCAATGAAATGGATCACCTCTAGCCAGACTGATCAAGAAACATAGTGAGAAGAAACAGATGATCTGTATCAGCGAAGAAAAAGGAAACATCACTACAGACCCTTCAGATATTAAAAGTATAATAAGGGAATGAATGATTTGAACCATACGCCAACACGTTTAACGATTCAGATGAAATAGATGTTTGGGGCTGCAGGAATAGCCGGTGCAAAAGCCTGAAGGCACCAGTATGACTGGCGCATTTAGGAGCTGGAAAGGGGATGTGGACAGGATGCTGCTGTCCAAGCAGTCAGAGTCTGGTCAGTAGACCAGAAGGTAATGCAAAGCCATTTCGAGGTTCTGGGCAGGAGTGGCCCAGTCAAGCCTGCACTCCAAAGGAAAGCCCTCTAGCTGCTTCTGTGTGAAGAAGACCTGAGAACAGGTAGCCTTGTGGGGAGACCGGTGCCTCTGTCAGGGGAACCGGGCCTCAAGCCCAGGGAGCAACGGCAGGGTGTGGAGGCGAGAGGGACCGAGAGGGAGGAGGGAGAAGGCAGGGCCAGGGCCTGCAGCCTGGTGCAGGTTCCAGAAATGGGACTCTGGGAGACAGCAGAGGTTGGGCACGGGGTGCATATGAAGCCAGGGGCAGCTGGAGGGACCTCTGGGGCCAGCAGGGTGAGATCACAGGGCCCATCTCCCTATCCTAGCCCCGCACAGGAGGGTCTCGTGCCTACCCCTCTGGCTCAGAAAAAGACACCAGGTATTACTGAGGCCAGGAGAGCTCACAGCCTAGACGGAGGCAGAACCATCTCCATCTCAAACACTACCCCCAACTGCAGGGCACTACGTTCACAGGAGGACGCTCGACCCCATGAAAACGCAGTAGGCCCAGGAGAGGATCCCAAGAAGGCAGAGTCCTGACACAAGGATAGCATCAGAGACGCAGAGCCGCAAAGACAGGTGGAAAGTGGCCCTGAACTCGCCCTCCTGCCTCTGCATGGCTGTCCCTTTTCCCAGCACCTGTTCATCAGCCAGCACCCCACATCTCTTTTACGGGCTAGAATAGGCGTTGCCGATCCAGCGAGCTTCCACGGACGCCCCAGCCTGGGTCAGGGGCCTCCCTTGAGCTCTGGCAGCCCCAAGTGCCCAACACAGAATGACGTTTGTCGGAAGCATGACAGCGAAGGGAGCAGCTCTTGCACGGCGTGGAGACCCCTCCGAGCAGACGGCTGGCCGGTCCTCCTGTCGTTAGCACCCCTGCTCAAGATGGAGCTGGCCCGTGGGGCAGGGGCTCCACCCGTGGCCCAGCGCAGCGCCTCCCTGTCTCTGGGTCTCCGTTTCCTCACCTGTGGGAGGGGGCGGTGGCGTCCGCTCCCCAGCGGCCCACCTGCCGCCACTCACCTAGCAGGCTCTGCCGCTCCTCCTTCTTCCGGGCCTTCTGCTTGGCCTCCAACTGCACCACGGACAGGGACGGCCCCACCGTGGGGCTGGGGAGGGCACTGGCAGCAAAGCGGGCCAGCAGGCCCAGCCCGCTCTCCTCCAGGCCAGGCGACAGGGCCCGTTCCCGGGCGCCCAGCCTGTAGCCGCCGACGGCCCCATCCGCCTTCTCCTCGAGCTCCTCCTCCTCGTCCTCCTCCTCCTCGGAGCTCTCATCTGGCATGCAGAAAACAGGGGGCGAGTCAGCGCCTTGGCCTCGGTGCACACCGCCCCCCACCACCCCCAGCCCGGGCGGCCGTGGGCTCCAGCCTAGCCCCTCCGTCCTCACCACGGGGCCGCGGGGGTGGATCCGGAACCAGCCCACGAGTCCCCCCGAGGGCCCAGTGGCCCATCCGACTGAGCTCAGGACACGGGAGTCCCGGACGGCCCAGAGGCAGGCCGCGGCCTTGGGTGTCGGGGTGGCTTCTGTGAGGGGGCACCAACATGCACCTGTGCTGGGGGTAGGGGCCAGACACACGGACAAGGACCGGAGACAGCTCTCTCCACGGCTCACACGCACACGCCCCGACACACAACATGGAGGCAGAAGAAGAGAAGGGCAGAGAAGGCGGAGGATCGAGGGAGAGGACCCACGGGACCCAAGCTAGGGGTTCTGGGCACAGAGGCCCACGGCAGCTTCGCCAGCTGAGGCCTGGGGGCTGGCGGCAGAAGGTGGAGTTGGGTCTCTTTCCTGGGGGTGGGGGATGCCCATGGTTCAAGCCCTGAGCCGGGTTCTGGAGTCCAAAGCCAACTTCAGTGACACCCCAGGCTAGGGAGCCCAGGGCAAGTGTCCAGCCCTGTCCAAGCCCTCGTTTTCTCATCCGTGTCATGGGATGACCTCTCCAGTCCACCAGCACAGCTAAAAGAGGGTCCAAGGGAACCCCACGCTTGCAGGAGGAACGATTTGCAGACTTAACAAGGTCACCCTGCGTGCCCTGCCGAGAGGACTTGTGCTATCCCTGCTGCCAGAGCGCTCCGGCTGGAGCTACTCTTGACTCACAGAGGCCCAGAGGGAGCAGAGACACAGGCTCAACAAGGCCAAGCATTCAAGCAGTACAGCAGGGCTCGCGTTCATAACTGGCAGGCTAAGGAAGCCCCAGGCAGGGCGCCGTGACTCACACCTGTAATCCCAGCACTTTAGGAAGCTGAGGTGGGAGGATCACTTGAGGCCAGGAGTTTGAGACCAGCCTGGGCAACATAGCAAGACCCCCAATTTCCACACACAAAAAAAATAGAGAGTGAGTGAGAAAGAAGCCCCACCTGTCTCTCTGGTTGGTAAATAGACATTTGCTTCTCCCAGCAAATGGCCTGCCAGCCTGAGGGCAGCAGCCCTCAGAGCCCAGCTCGGGTTTTTAGAACAAAAGTAGGGCAGGTGCAGACAGCAGGGGATCGTGATAGTCCCTGCACGTGAACCAAACCCCTCACCAAAAAGACAGACTGTCTTGAGGTGCACATTGACCAAGAGATGGCCACGCTGACTCTTGACAAGGACAGGTAGGCGGGAGGCATCGGGGAGCTGACTGTCCTGAGATGCCACAGCCAAGCACCCACCAAGGGGCCAGTGCCCAAGGGTACCCATCTCCTTCAAAGGCCAGAGTGCTGGGGGCAGGGAGGTGGCCCTGGCAGGCTGGATGGTGGCTCTACCCAGCAAGAAGAGGCAAGGGTGCCACTCAGCCTGGGCAACACGTCATGACCCCAATGCTGCAAAAAGTTATTTTTAAGAAATTAGCTGGGCACAGTGGCTCACCCCTGTAGTCCCAGCTACTCAAGAAGCGGAAGCAGTAAAATTGCTGCTGCCCAAGAGTTCAAGGCTGCAGTGAGCTAGGATCGTGCCACTGACTCCAACCTGGGCCACAGAGCGAGACCCTGTCTCTCAAAGAAACACACACAGAAAATGTAGAAGAGGCAGGGCACCATACTCTCTCTCCGGGGCAGGGGGCAGTCTAGGGACGGGGGCCAAGTCCACATTCTCCTGCCAGCGCCCCAAACCACTGCTTGCTCAAGTGCAACTAGTGGCCGCAAGTGGCGGCCCCAAGGGTGCCAATGAGGGCAGAGATTCCGTCTGTCTACCCGTGTATCAGAGGGAGCCCAGATTTCTGCTGGGCCACCCTGGAAAGGGAGACGGTGACGGTGATGGTGATGGGCTTGGAGTCCATGGGGGTGGGGGGCCAGAGAGAGAGAGGGGAGGACGGTTAAGAGGTGAGGAGGGAGGCTGGCCCCAGAGCGATGGATGGAGCAGGCTGGAGAGGCCAGCGGGGCAGGCGGGGGCAGGCAGGCAGTGCACACTTGCGACCATTCACATTGCGGACGTCACATGGTTCTGTCTCCGCCCCAGTGGGCCACAGCGGCAAAGCAGGCTAAGTGTAGGCAGACTTTGAACAGCGCCTGGGTCCCCCACGTCAGGCCTCCCCGGGGTGGGC